TAATACATCTTAAAAAGGACAACACTAAAGCAACTAGCAAAAGAGATAGCAAACCTACTAGCAGAGACATTTGCAGAAAACTCTAAAATGAGCAAAAATCAAAACCTACAAAAGTGTAAACAAAAAGATATAAATAACCAATTAAATTTTTCATCTAAAAATACAGAAGCCTACAACAATCTATTCACTGAAGCAGAACTAATAGAAGCCATAAAAAAAATCCCATAATACAGCAGTAGGCCCAGACCAAATCCACTATGAATTTATTAAACAACTACCACAATAATCGCTGAAATACCTTTTGAATATTTTTAACAATATTTGGACTACTGGGAAATTTCCCAAAATATGGAGAGAATCTGTAATTATTCCCATACTCAAAGAAGGAAAAGAGGAAACAACCCACAAAGTTACCGACCAATAGCATTAACAAGCTGTCTATGTAAGACAATGGAGCGAATGGTCAACGCCAGATTGAGTTGGTTTCTAGAAGAAGGAAAACACATATCAGAATATCAATGTGGATATAATAAAGGAAGAAGTACAATAGATCACATAATAAGACTAGAAACAGCCATAAGAGAGGCCAATTTAAACAAACAACATCTAATAGCCATATTTTTTTATATAGAAAAAGCATTTGATCAAAGCTGGAAACATGGTATAATGAAAGATCTGCATAAATTAGGATTAAGAGGTCGACTACCAAACTTCGTAAAAAGGATTTTTAACAGATAGACTCTTCCAAGTACAAATAGATACTACACGTTCTGATTATCAAAAAGCAAGAAGAGGGAGTACCACAGGGAAGTGTACTCTCCCTTACACTTTTCAAAATAAAAATAAATGACATAATAAAAACATCAAATCAGGAATACACTGTAGCCTTTATGTTGATGATTTTACAATATATTACAGATCAAGAAACCTCAACACAGCAGAAAAGACAAATTCAACAATGTTTACATCAAATAAACAAATGGACACTCGAAAACGGTTTTAAAATATCAAAACGAAGACAAAATCTGTACACTTCTGCCAAATGAAAAAATTACACAATAACCCAACTCTAAAACTAGGAAATGAAGAAATACCAGTAGTTCAGCAATATAAATTTCTAGGAATGATCTTTGACAGCAAACTGACCTTCAGACCACATATCAATTACCTAAGAACAAAATGTTTTAAAGCTCTCCAACTACTGCGAACAGTAGCCCATACAGAATGGGGAGCTAGCAAAGAAACCCTTCTTAAGCTTTATAGAACGTTGATCCGCTCCAAACTGGACTATGGCAGCATGGTCTACCAATCAACTAGAAAATCTTATCTAAAAACAATAAACACAATACATCATGAAGGCCTTCGGATAGCTCTAGGAGCCTATCCCACCTCACCTATAGAGAGTCTACATGTAGAGGCAAACGAACCCCATTACAACTAAGAATGGAGAAACTAGCTACTCAATACTATCTAAAACTCTCTTCCTGTCCTTCTAACCCCACACACGATTGTGTAATTACACCAAATCACAAAGAGAAATTTAATCTTAATAAAATAAAATCAAAACATTGGGACTCGGATGGAAGGAATCATCCAAGAAAATAATTTACCGTCTAATCAAATACTTAAAACCAACCAATCAAACATACCACCATGGATAATCAAAAATCCAAACATAATATTAAGTTTAAACAAATTATCAAAATCAAAAACACACCCCACAACATACATTGAAAAATTCTCAAAAATAAAAGAAAAATATCAAAACTATGAAAGTATTTACACAGATGGATCAAAAGACGAAGAAAAAACAGGCAGCGCAGCAATAACAAAAGAAACAATTATCAAAAAACGCTTGCCAAATGAAGCATCAATTTTCAGTGCAGAAGCCTACATAATAAAACTAGCACTAAATTTCATATCAAAAAACAAAGGAGAAAACTATTATTTTCTCAGATTCATTATCGGTATTAACCTCCCTAAAAAAAGGGAAAAGACTGAAAAATCCATTAATACAAAGTCTTCTATATAAACTACATTCAATGGAAAAAAAGCAAAAATATCATCTTCTGCTGGATTCCTAGCCATGTTGGCATCCAAGGAGGAGATAAGGCAGATAATGCTGCTAAATCATCTTTAAAATGACAATTGATGAAAATCTTCAAATTCCATATACAGACTTAAAATCTAAAATATATAAATACATAAGAAACAAATGGCAAAATCTATGGAAAACCAAACCGAAATAAATTATTTCAAATTAAACCTAAAATAGGAAAATGGGGAAATGATCTTGGAAATACTAGGAAAAAAACAAGTTGTCATAACCAGAACACATATAGGACACACATATTTAACTCATTCTCACATATATTAAAAAAGACAAATCCACCAAAATGTAAATGTGGAAGCCTAATCACAATAAGACATATTCTATCAGAATGCAAAATCATAACTAGAATAAGACAGAAATATCTCAATGGAAAAGATTTAAAAGAAATATTCAAAAATACAGACACAGAAAAAATATACAGTTTTCTCAAGGAAATAAAAATCCTCAATAAAATATAAATAGTGTATATATATATATATATATGCTTATAGACATATATATGCATCTATGAATGTAAACAGTAAAATACACAATCAGAAACGGTCACAAAAAGCAATCCCAAAAAATACAGAAAATTATGAAACCCAACAACCTTTCATCTTTTTATACAAAATAACCAACTTAAATTCATAAATTAATAAGGCTTCGGCATAAATTGACCCAAATAGGAGTTGACATGCCGTTAAATCCAACATCCATCCATCCTACTATACTGTGCGCAGTGGACAAAATCAAAAACAAACAACATGTATGTGTGAAATTGAAAATATAAAATGGTGACAATTTACCCAACGTATCCTGTATATATACATATGCATACAGACAATCTTTTGTGTTATATGAGGAAGCTTAGTATGGATTGGATACCATATCTTTTTTCCCACAAATTTATTTGTATCTAATTTATATAAAATATTCTGGTTACTTGAATGATAACATCTGCTTTTCACTTACAATAGCAGATGTAACCCCTAAACTGACATCACTCCACTGCCAACCATACACCATAGCTCTCGGCTAAACAGAAGTGGCAGAAAATGATATTATAGCGGTGACAGCAGTTTTCACTCAACTATCTAATAGTGTATCAGCATAAAAAAAAACAAAAAAAATTTGTCTAAAGACAAAAAACAAAATAAAATAATATTGTTCACGTTAGCTACAATTAAATCAGATGAATAAAGTACATGAATAACTGATGCAATTAAAACATTCATTTCAGTATTTCTCATGTTATAAGTCAGCTTTTTTTTCTCTGGGCTGCATTTTTGAAATGAATGCTTGCATGTGCCTCACCAAATTTTATGTGATAAAAAGTACATTTAAAAATAAAAACAGAGAGAGAGGCTCAAAGGGAGATGACCGAGGATTCAAAGTTAGAACATTATCATTGATAAATCTCTCCTCCAATTTGCGGACCCTAGTTATTTTATTCTTAATACTTGTAAAAATATCACAATGATAAAATTGGTCAATAAGTATTTGTAACTATTTATACTGGAACTCATGCATGCAATTACAAGTAATCTATAATAATATTTTAAATTTTGAAATCATATTTATTTCTGGCATATAAATATTTTGAAACCATTTCTAAATCTTTGACTTTCAATCATTCCACCTCAGCTGCTATCCTCTTATAATCATTGTTATAAGTCATCATTAAAAAAAATAAACATGATTTAGTGTTGTTTTAAAAGTAGAAAAACTGTATAAGTGCATTGCTTCATAGGACAGGAAAGAAACATATGAACAAAATAATATAAGCTCTATTAGGATTCCAGGGATGGCAGCAAACATTAAATAAAATGTTAAAATTCATTTAAATAGAGATGTATGATTTTAATACAAATACATGGATCAAAGCAACATGTGTAAATCATTTAAACTTATCTTTGTCTATGATCTTAATACCTAATTCTTAAATCCATGTATTATAAATACTGTTTCAGTTTTGATAGAAAATTATTTTTTCAAAATGGTAATTCATCAAACTAATGCTTTAGCAAAGACTATTGGATAATCTTAACTGACAAATCTAACTCTCAGATATCAATTGATAATTAGCAAATTTACAATATTCAATATTCCAAGTGGTATGTATACTGATGGGGGTACAGAAATGCCATAAAATTAGTTATAAACTGCATATAAAAATATAATGCATATTTATGAAAACAAATATCATGATATAATTAAATTAATAATAACACGAGCATATAATTATAAATGAATACCACCATATAAATATTTATTGTTATAAATTATATATCTTTTTCAAATTTCCAGATGCTGTGCATATTTACTGATAAGAATGCTGAAATTTTATACAAGTTATCCATAAACTATTTTAATAGGTGAATAAAAAAAGCTAGACTCTAAAACATGGAATTAAAAAAGATTTTAACAGTATTTTCAGTATATCTCTAGTTTATCTAGGAAGATATATGAATGCAAAGATCCTAGAAATATTAAAAATGAAATTTGATCCAATATTGATCTAAAATAAACTTTAATTAAAATAATATCATAATTCATTTATACCAAATGTCACCTTTGCTAAGGGTGGTAAACATGCAAAAAATATAAAATATTCAGAATCTTTATTAATTTCATTAAAATCTGAATACTGTTTATTAATTTGTAATTTCTGTAGAATATTTTAAAAATCTGCTTAATAGTTTACTTATCCTGAGAATATAATAGAAAATATTTGATCAATCATATTATTTTATATGTTGATAAGGATTTTTAGTATGTTAAAAGAGTAGGTGACTATAAGATTCATAAAGAAAAGAATGGTATAGAGCAATAATTTTTTTATGCAAATAGTAAAAGAAATTAAGTAAGTAGGATTTGGTTAAATTTATAATTATTTTAAGCAAACCTTTTATATGTTCACTACTGATGACTTCTTCTAAGCATTTAAGCTCCTCCATGGAAGATGCAGTTTGTTTGATTAGGTTTTCCTCTGAAAAAAAAAAAAAAAAAAAAAAAATTTCATTGAATTAGAGTAAACATTTGATTATAACACACACACACACACACACACACACACACACACGAGATTGCTGAAAAGTTCTAGGCCTGGCCCATTTCCCAAAACCTAGTCAAATGATGAAACAAAGTTATTTAGGAGATTTCCTTCTTGGTTGAACTGAGAAATTTTCAGCTCCCCATCACATACATGTGTGTGTGAGTAAAGTTTGGATGAGAATCTGATGGAATGGTAAATCTATAAGACAATTGGGAAAACTTCTTTTTTGACATGTACTGGTGGATTAGCTTCATCAAAAAAAAAAAGAATTTTATTTCAACAATAAACGTGACATAACATTATCCTTGTGATTCATAAGAAAACTTTTACTTATATTGTCTTACAAACTATTTTCAAATTTTTTATTTCTATTTATATATTCATTTATTTTAAAGTTTTTCATACTAAATTAGTACTGAAATAATGGTAATAGTAACATTAGCTTTTTCCCTACAAGGAAACATTTGACATTCATTGACTGGGTAGCTAGTACTGTTTTCAGTTGAAATTTATAAAATCTTTCTCTTAAAACAATTTTTCAAGAAAAGTCCAGTAGTTGTTATTGCTCTTTCCAGTATTTCCTTCCTACCATTTTATTTGAAGTAATGTGGAAAGTCAAGGCTGTATGGAAGTGATGCATAATATTAATAATCTATAGTAAAGATCTAAACTAAATATTGACAAGAGTGCAACTACATGGCCAATTTTACTAAATTCTTTCTATTCTTGGTATCAACATTCCCATTAACAATTTGCTTAACCCAATTTATGTGCATAATTCCTCAAAAAAAAAAAAAAACTTTAAATAGCTATTCAATGTCAAATATGCCCTGATATGCATAAACAATTTATCAAAAGCTCTCTTTAGCTGCTGGAAAAATAAATTGGTCTTCAGATAATATTTAGTGTTCTGGAAACAAAGGCAGAGTTAGAGAATTATTGTTTTTTTTATCACTTGTCAAAAGAAGAGGGAAGGTGTGAATCGCTGGAGCAGTGAAATTTCTTTAGATAAGAATTGAAATGGAGACATTGTTGATAATTACTATTTAAAATCCAGTTTACAGAATTGTCCACAGGCCATAAGCCAATAAGGAAAAAAATCAGTCAAGTGATAATAATTTTTCTGGAAACAAAGGCAAAGTTGGAGAATTGTTTTTTTTTTATCATTGGCAAAAAGAGAGGGGAAGGTGTGAATCATGGAAGAGATGAGATTTCTTTGGATAAGGGCCAAAGTGCCACAAGAGGCTGTCAAGGGAACAGCTGATGAATGCCTGATTGAGAAAGTAGAAGGGATCAGGAATTCTGTTGATGAAAATTTTGGATGTTAATTAAAATTAATAATTGAAGCTAAACCATGCTTGCTTGCTTGCCCATGCAGTATAGAGATCAGATTGATCAGGTAACCATAGAAGTGAAGGGCCTAAGTGGAATCTCAAGGGAGGCAGAGGATTTGCTTACACTCCTTGTGCAGTATTGGTATGAGGCACCAATACAAGAAAGAAGGGGTTGGGGTGGATAGATACCTTATGTAGACTTAGTCTCAACAAAGTGTTACAAAATATTCAAAGAGGGAAGGGTTGATTAACTTTGCATAACAAATACATTCCTGCATGAAGAACATATATTCCTACCTGAAGAGCTGATATTGTACTACCAGCTTTGTACAAGAAACCTAAAATATTTTCTTCATTAGAATTTATCCTATGACTTGTGGCTTCACTTTTTCTGGACCAGACCAATTCAATGATTCCTGTCAACAATTGATCCTCATTAGCTTTGTGATCTAAATCAAACACAACAAGGCAAGGCTTGGATCAAAGTGATCCATTCAATGGTCAGCCGTGATGATCGAACAGACCAGTTCATAGTAGAAGGGAGGTAGGAAAGTGACTTGAATGTCAGATCTGACTGTAGATGGGACAAAGGCTTCCTAGTGAGAATGTTGCCAGTAGAGCAGAGAGCAGAAAGGTCTCAGCATTCTTAAAAACTACACTGATAATAAAGAACAAAGAGCACCCTTAGGCTGACCATAAAAAAAAAACTTCCTGGGATTCTTGTCAAAAAAGTATGTACGTTTTTTCTTCACTTATTAAGTGGGTGCAGCCTTTTTCTTTTTTTCTATGAGTAATTTGTTTCTTTTTTTTTTCTAACAGTTTTCATATCTCCTCAAAGTTTTTTTTTTTCATGATTTGAAAAAAATTTGTATTGTGAATATTTTAGAGCCAATTGTTTCCATAATTTTGTAATGTTCTCTTGCTTTGTCTTTAATAACGCACATGAAAATAAATTTTTGTGTAAGCCTCTTTTGTAAAATTTGTACTTTGTTATATTGTTTTATGTCTGGTTAATAAATATTTGTAGATTTCAAGTTTCATGAGGTAGCTTTGAGTCTTGTTTGTTACTTTATGCACCTTTTATAACATTTGGGATAAGAGAAGTGATGTTCTCTCTTCCCCCATAAATAGTGGGTCAGTGAATACTTAAAAAAAAAAAAATTGATTTCTAAGTAGAATTACTCATTTTCTTCAGTGCAAAATTAGATCCAGTTTCAAAGAAATTAAAAGTTTTTTATCCACAAAAATTAAACTCATGCGTTGTTACATTCTAGAGAAAACAATAAAAACAAAAAACACAAAAAAGCCAACAAACTTATTAAATACAACAGCAATTAGTGTTTGTCCTAATTTCCTTTAACATAAGCTGAACAATTAAGATAAAAAACAGGATAAAAATATACAAATGAGAATAGTGTATACTGCAAAAATGCATATGAAACAAGTTTTTGTAGATTAAACCTATGTAAATTATCTTTGATGTTATCTATTGAATATATAGGGACTTGTGATATACCATATGGAACTCAATTATAATTAGTCATTTTTTTTCTGGCAGATTGGAGATAGTGAAAAAGAGTAGTTCTAGGAAACAAGAGACTAACTGGCTACCATTTTCTCTGATCCTTTCATGTTAATTAGCACCTGACATCAACCTTCTCAAATATTTAAACAAAAGAGAAATACAAATTAACAACTAATAAGTCATCAGATTTTACTTTCATGTGGTAAATAAAAGCTAGATAGAAATTTAGGAGGATTTGTTTAATTAGGCTTATCATCCATTTCGATTTGAGAGTTCTGTCTTTGTGATATAAACTATCAGTATTTGTTGTTTTTTTTTTGTGTGTGTATATCAACACTGAAGTTTAACAATGTTGAGAGTCAGAAAAATACTTTATTATGCAAGAAAACTAAACATATAGCAAAAAAAAATGTATACTATCCTGGGTTATGTCTTGAAATTATGGCAAGCCAACATTCAGTGTACATTTGAATTGTATTAAATTTATAAGATTAACGACATTATGCTGTCTTAAATTTTTATCTGTGCGAAAATGGCAATGGGAAAATTCTGATCTAAAAATAAAAATCCAGGTTCATAATTCCAAAGAGTACAAATCAGTCTTACAAGTCTAAAATACCAGCGGCATAAATCAAAAAAGGGAAAAAAAAATTGTATCCAAAAATTGCAATGTACAACTACCATCTTCACCCACAAAGATCCAAGAAATCTGCATGTCATCCACAGTAGCATTCTTTTATTGGGGTAAGAAAGGTTGTGATTGGTATTTTGAAACCTACTAAAGTCAACCCTCTCTTGATTCTGATTTTTGACAGAGAGAACACAAATTCTTTTTCAAGGTAAGATTTGGTTTTCTCCTTCATCGCCACATTATCTAAGTGCTGTTTAACAGATCAAGAGATCAACTCTTAACTGATTAATCCATACTGTTACCTCTTATAACATGAAAAACAGAATTAAATGACATTACCAAATAACCATTTTCAAAACAAAAGAAAAAATATCTGCATGCCAGTTTACCAATAAAGAGAACATTGATCAACTCATATACAAAAGGTGTTGCTTTAGATAAAGTAATTGCTATTAATGATGACAAATATGTGAAAATATATGCTGTCCTGAAAAATGGTGGGCAAAAATGGATGGTTTTTCCCTTGACACTGCTATCATTTTAACTACCTTCACTCCTGTGAAATGTTTATTTTAAAAAATAATGATTAGAATTTTAATAAAGCCTAAACATATGATGAAAGTGAATTTATACATTTTCTTTGTTCTTGAAAATTTACAACAAAAATATTGGTTGGAAAAATATTGGCTAATTGCCAATTAGGCAATATTTTGCCAACCAATATTTTAGTCATAAAGGTTAAACATTGCTGAAAAATGTATTTGTATTATTAATAACTGTTATATTTAATTTAATAATTTTATAAGAGCAACTGTTGTGTAATCTATAGCTGGAATAATGTTTCTATTAAAAGTTTGACATAAAGAACACACAGAAAGATTTTTATGCACACAGGAATCTTAGTATTATTTACTCACCAGCAAGGATCATTTCCAATTTTGCAGGCTGTGTTATTGTTAATTCATCTGTATATTCAGGGTCCAGATATTTTTCAATTTGTGCCACTGCAAGACAAAAAAAAAAAAAATCGTCTCAAAATAGTTTTTATAAACATATTTCTACTTTTGTTGGTTACCTATAAAACATAGAAGTATTCATTTTAATTGAACAACCTCAAGTAATTTATTTCTGTTGTGAAAAGTTTGAAAATTATTTAAAAAATATACAAAATTATTTACAGCAGGATATATAAATAATCTTTTAATATGAAAGTCATTATTAAAGAATAAGGAAAGGATATTAATCTGGACACATTTACATTTTTCCATCATTTTATTCCTTTGATAGTGAGACTAAGCATCTTTAAAGTCACTTAAACTCTAAATTTAAAACAAAAAACAAAGAGCTCGATGGCAATTTTACTTCAAGCTATCCATTCAAGCAATAAAGATTAAAATATTTTGTTTTTTTATCATAATATAATAAAGTTAACTTTTTCCTGCTCTGATAAAAAAAAAAAATGCTTCACTGTTGATAATTCTGAGCCTAATACAAACTAGATTTATGTTTATAGGCTCAGTACAACTTCCTTAAAATCACTGCTAGCAAATTTTCTGGTTGTTTGTTAAAATAAATTCTTTTGTTAATTTTGTGATAAACATCATTGTTTTTTTTCTCATTTTTTATTTGCCTTCCAATTAATATTTGTTAATACTCATTGCTGCATTGTTATAACTTTGTTCCTTGGCTGTTTTGGGAAAAATAGGACATTTCTATTGATTGAAAATAAATGACCATAAAAATGCTTCCAGCAGTTTCTCATGAGCACCATCATTTTGGCTTCAATTGGATACACTGCAGTACTCACTAAACTCAGCAACACCCACAGCATACAACATAATAAAAATGTCACAAAAAAAGCTTGCAGTGTATGCTTCTATGTATCTACACTGGTTTCGAAACAGCATGAAGTGTTAGTTTATAATGCAAATCCTAGGGATCAATAGTGACTTGAAATTATGCACACACACACACATATATATATATATATATATATATATATATATATATATATATATATATATATATATATATATATATATTTAGAATGGATTTTTTGTTTACAGTAAGGTTCAGTGACAGGAAGTTATCCCACATATACCTCCCACATAATAGTAAGATGAAAATACCATTGCTACACTAATGTCTTAAGCATTATGTAGGAAGTATATATCAGAGGCATTTTTGCTGCACTCTTTATTACATTCTTGAAATTTTCTAAATGAAACATTGTCATTTGTATCAATTTTTGATTAGTATTTCTTTCATGTTATTTCTGTTTTTTATTTCAACATTCAGTGTTTTACAACTGATAAGTAAACAGCATGGGTTGGAAATAAAAATAAATTTCTGGCAAGATTTGAACCCACATTCTTTTTTTTTTTTTTTTTTAAAGTAAAAAAAAAAATAGAAACCTATCTTAATGTCTAATACTTCTAGTGTAAATAAACAAAATATTGGGACATAGTGGAGATTGGGGAAGAGGAGAATATAGCTATATGGTTAATTACAATGATACTGTCTGAACTTTTGTCCCCTAACCGGTAAGGAGTTGTCAAGGTAAAACAGTTGAGAGTACAAATATTAAGCATAATAAAATCTCTTTGGGAATAATCTCATTTGGTAAGTAAATATCTTTTCTATGCTACTAAATAGTAATTTGGTAAATACCTACCTACTGTATGCTACTAAATATGGTACTAAAAAGTGAATCTGCAAATAGATTTCCTAGACAAATGGATTGGATCAAATAAATCAAAGATAAATTGTACAATATAATTGATTTAACTTCAAACAACACAATAAAAAAATAATTTCATGGATTACTTACATTTGCTAAAAGATTCAGCAATATTTTTGTGACCAGCAACAGACACCATCATTTTAGAATGGACATTGTGAAGAGATTCAACACACTATTTTGCAAAAAAAAAAAAATTAAAAAAAATAAATAAATAAAATGTTATTTTTTTCATCAACAAAAATGGTAAAATCATGCAAAACTATTCATATAAATTCTAACGAGATCTGAAAAAGTTTAAAATAAAATATTTCTGATGTATTCATTGTTTTTCTGAGTGAACCTGTAAAAAGAATATCTTTAATGTATTCTTAGTATATATATATATATATATATCATGCTGAATAATATTAGTAATATACAAGAGAAAATTTTTGTGAAGGTAAAACTTAGTACTTTATAGATAGGTGAACATTCCAATAGTTTGCAGTTTATTTTTTATATACAGAATGAAACCAGATCAAAAACTGAATTATATTTCTCATTGGAAAATTGATTAGTTCCTTTCTATACAGCCTTACTGGGGATACTCCGACATGGTGTAATGGTTAGCAAGCTTGTCCTGCTACACCAATTATGACTGAATAGTGAGTTTGATCTTCATGGGTGCCTTGGCATTGTGCCACATGTAAATTATGCTTTAAAAAAAAAAAAAAAAAAAAAAAAAAAAAAAAAAAAAAAAAAAAAAAAAACAAGTAATGCATACATTGAGAGTGAAATTATAAGTATCATTGAGATGAAGCAATTAATTTTTTTTTTTTTTTTTTAATATATAGAGAATAATTCTTTTAAAATAATACTTTCATATTTGAACTGAGGTTCAGTTTAGTTCCATATCTCTTGATTAAAACCACCATTATAGGCTATAAATAAGTCTATACACTTTGATTCATCAGAGTATTACAAAAAAGGTGTAAACTGATATCACAATCAGTCTAATTGTATGATGAGGTATTTACATTGTTCAGACTGTTGTCCTCATCTTTGCCATATTCACAAAATGTTGGTCATTGTATGCACCGGCTTTCTTCTGGTGATTAGAATTTTGAACCAAATCTTTTATTTTGTCCACTGGAGTCTAGTTCCACATGCCATGCCTCTTGCAAAAATCTCAGTTTCAGTTATTTTCCTTCAACTCCAAGTTTTGCTGTGGCCAGGTATTAAACTCACAACTCTTTTGGGTCAAATCACTGGATTACTTCAACCAACTGGGCCATGTTCTTGAGGTTATCAGTGTATAAACTTTTGGGAATTATATATAAACCTTACATCTCAGCACCTCCCTCCTTTTTTTTTTTTTTTTTTTTTTTTAAAATTAAACCAGAGCTCATTTTATCATTTATGTTATTATTGCTTTTCTCTAGCACTCCGTATTACTGGTTCCCATATTGTATTCATGTATATGCTTGGCTAGCTTAGGAAATTTTTATGGCCTAGCATATGAGAAATAACTGAAACTGAAATATTCAGAAGAAGCATGGCATGCGGAACTAGAACAATCCACTCCAGTGGATGAAATAAAGGGTTCAGTTCAAAGTTCCAATCGCATAGACCATAGCATACAACAGTAGAAATGTTATGAATATGGCAACAAAGATGACGGCAACAATCGAAAAAACGTAAATAGTGTAAATGATACCACAATCCCAAACTGCAAAATTTTTTTTCAAATAATGTTTTGTCAAATATTATCATTATGCATTTTCAAGTAGAGTTGGTACCAGATTTCATTTTAAGAAGAGTAGAGAAAATTAAGAGATGTTGGCATGTTCATATTTGAATATAAACTGTAAGTATAAAGAGTCAGAAATTATGTTTATGATATTAGATGAAGCTATTTTCTTCATAAGCATATTACATATGTGTAATCCTGGCTGGTTGATTGTTGAATATATATTTTCATTCTTCTTGTTCTCTGGTTGAATCAAAAAACAAAGAACTTCTGGTTACATGAGCCAGAATCCCAGTTCACTATATGTTGCTCCTGAATAATTTGCATTTTCTCTCCTGTCTGTTCACACTTGACTTTGACCTCTGCAGAATGAAACACTCCTCAAAATGCAACTTTACAAAAAAAAACAAGACTTAAAGCTCAAGCATCATCCACTACACAAATGTGTGCCTCCAATCATACAGTTGGCACTCAACCAAATGAGAAGTGGTAGGAGGCAACATCACAATAGCATGGAGAGTACCCAACAAATATGAAATTAAAAGCACCAAGTTGACTAGAATTGAAAAACAAAGGAAAATGCATAAAAAAAAAAAAAAAAATCCTCATGAGTATGCATTATGTTTAAGCAAGTACTTATATGTTGTCAAACAATTTAACATCATTTAAATATTTTCAACACTTATTAGTTTGCAGCTAAGAAACAAAAAATGACCAGCATCCAATTCCATATAATTTTGCAGAGTAAAAACCAACAGAAATATTACAAAAGCAAATAAACCACAGAATTTTAAAAGCTGCTTAAAAAAACTTTTGTGATGTATTTTGAAGTGCATCTGCAATAATTACTAGAAATTAAAAAAAAACCAAAAAAACAAAAAAAAATCTATGGGCCAATATATTTTAAAGTTATTGATACCTGGAATTTTTAGTGAAATTTCCTTAAAACAAATTGTAAAAAGGTTGAATTTTCTTAGTTATTCTATGAAAATAATATTTTCTATACATTAAGGAAATACACTTTTTATAAAAGATGTTCTTGTAACTGATATTTAAGTAAGTCACATGTAATTATTTGATATAATAGAAACCCACTCAAAATATATGAATTAATAAAGCAATTGATGACATTCAGATGGAGTGCTAGTTTTCAGTGATATGTTCATAACAAAACTATAAAAGTATTAATGAATGCTTCTTAATCTGTTTGCTAAGCCATAAAAATAAACTTTACATACATAAGAAATTTTATATATATTCAATATTTTTCAGCATGAATTTTGATCTATCTTTTTTTAAATGAAACATTTATTATTATTATCATCATCACTAGTTTCCTTTTGTCATAGCATTGAGGTGTAACATAGTTATAGAGAACATCCATTAATGATGTCTTTTCAAGATGTTGAATGCAAGTTCAAGTCTTGTAGTGGGAGGGTTATTTTTTTTTTATTACTGATTTTGTACTTTTTACTTTGACTACTGAAGTAAAAAGTACATTTTTATGTGATGAAAAGAAAATTTAGTGATAAAATAATAATGACAATGAATTTTCATATACCATATATACTTGTGTATAAGCAAACTACATATATAGTGTGCCCCCTGAATATTTTAGAATGAATTTTAACCCCTCTGTAAAATTTTACATGTGTATAGTGTAACAAAAATGTATGATTTTTAACCTCTAAAAAAATAAAAAAAGAAAGAGCATATACCACCTATTTTTTGTGTAAAAAAAACAAAAAAAAACAAAAAACAAAAAAAAAACTGATCATAAAACTTTGAATTATACAAGATTACATAAAGTAATTTTTTTAATAATATGGCTGATAAGGTTTCAACATTCCATAATAATATTAAAGCCAAGACACTACTGTTTATAGCAAATTTGGTACTTGAAAAATCATTTAAGATATAGCTGCTGTTTTGCTAGTTACAATCTAAGATTTTGATAGTGAATATTCTCTTGCAGAATTCTGATAAATATAAGCACATTTTCACTTTTTTAATTTTAAGTAAAAAAAAAAAAAAAAAAAAAAAAAGAAAAATGTATCTTCATTATCAGATTACTTAATAGGTCAAATTTAAAATTATACTTATGTATTAACACAGGGAATTTTTACACAAATTTCATTTTCTCTGTAAATACTAGACAATAGTGTTCTTATTTGAACAACCAATGGTTAATATTTTTGATTTTGTGTAACAATATAAATGAATAATGATAAATTGTTAAAATGTTCAAAAACAATACAATTTTCTTTAAATGCATGTATAAACAGGACAAAAGTTAGGATACCATATATGCATGAACCCACACATAATAAATACAAAAATATTATTTCTAGGTATTTCTTTTATTGAGTCACTTCAAAATACATTTGTTGCTTACCACTTGCCTAAAACTTTAAAACATGCACCTCTTAAAAAAAAAAAAAAAAAAAAAAAAAAGATATAATAATTAAGCAGGCCCTTATATTATGTGCAACTTAATGGATAACCATTTTAAGCTGTTTCCCACCACCAAATTTATTACATTTTTATAAAGAAAGAACAGTGCTTCTTTAAGAGTAATTTTCCAAATGAGTCACTAATTTTCTTTTTGACACTCTAGTGCTGTTAAGCTACTAATGATGGAGATGATAGCACTGCGTTGAACAATGTAATTATATTCCCATTCAGCTGGCAACTGAAAAAAGTGCCTGGTAACTAGTAATATGCAATTTAAGAGTAATTTTATTTCTTTAACATAAAAAATTTTTTTAAAACCCTGGTATTAATCATAATTGTGTCTATATTTAATACAGATTCTATTATAATTATGTTCTAACTTTTATATATTTACAATAAAAACTTAAATTTGACATGTTTATTAAAAGGTGATCTTTATTATATTTAGTAAATTTTGGCAATATTCTAGAGTCTTTGTTTAGAGTCAATCTACCTTTTCTGAAAGTATATATAACTATGATGATTCCATGTTAAACCTTTAGATACAAAAGTAATACGAGTATAAAGGTGTAATATAAATATTGGAATTTACTAAGACTAAATTTATTATAAAAAGAGGAAAGCTGTAGCTTAAATTTTCTTTTAGGTTATATTACTCTTACAAAGATTCATCTTGAGAATGTATTTTCAAGAGCAGTAACAATTTTGGCTTGAGCAATTAAAAACCACTTGAGAAATTTACCCTCATGTTTATTAGATGTTAATGAATAAAGCTTACTTGCTTCTTTGAAAATATTCAGATGAACTAAATTAAATTGGTTTACAAACTTTGTGATTACATTTTGTATTGCCCAAAAGCCTCGTTAGTATTCATATTACAAACTCTTAAAGGTTTTCTGTAATTTGAAATTGTAACTCAAGTTGAATTTCATTTAGATAATTAGTATAGTACATGGCAATAACGATGGGAGTATTTATATCTGGATCAA